ATGGTGGAAGGAGCAATTTGGTGATGATTTTTATATTGAGATGATGCGACATGGTCAAGAAGATGAAGATCGTGTTAATCAAACATTATTGGCTTTTGCGAGAAAACATAATGTAAAAATAGTTGCTACAAATAATACCTATTATATCAATCAAAATGATTCTAATGCACATGATATTTTATTATGCGTAAGGGATGCAGAAAAACAGTCTACACCAATTGGTAGAGGTAGAGGTTTTCGTTTTGGTTTACCAAATCAAGAATATTATTTTAAGTCGGAAGCTGAAATGAAACAATTATTTCAAGATATTCCAGAAGCAGTAATTAATATTCAAGAGATAATAGATAAAATTGAAGACGTATACACTTTACTAGAGATGTATTACTTCCAATTTTGATATTCCAGCTGAATTAGGGTGCGTTCGGATGATGAAAGATAATTTACAGATTGGAGGAAAAAGAGGTGAAAATGCCCTAAATTTAAAAGACTATTTAACTTATAAGGGAGCGGAGAAACGTATATCCAGAAATTACAGACGAAATAATGAACGTTTAGATTTCGAATGTATAACTAATTGAAAAACGGGATATCCAGGTTATTTCGTATAATTGGTACAAGATTTATATGCAGCAGCAAGAGAAATTGGAGTCTCGTAAGGGCCAGGTCGTGGTTCTGCAGCAGGTTCTGCAGTTGCTTATTGTTTAGGAATTACAAACCTTGATCCTATCCAGTACGATTTACTTTTCGAGCGTTTCTTGAATCCTGATCGTGTATCGATGCCCGATATTGATATCGATTTTGATGATGAAGGACGATCATTGGTTATGGATTATGTAATTGATAAATATGGTGCAAATCAGGTAGCACAAATTATAACATACGGTACAATGGCAGCTAAATCTTCTATAAAAGATACTGCTCGTGTGCTAGATTTACCTTTGTTTGATGCCAATAGAGTTGCAGGATTAATTCCTAATATGAAACTGGCTAAAATATTTAATTTAGATGATAATGCATTGAAAGGTGCATTAAAAGCTGAAGAATTAGAAGCTGTCAATGAATTAAAACGTCTTTCGAATGGAAATGATTTGGCTGCAGAAACTATTCAGCAAGCAAAAATATTAGAAGGTTCTGTTCGTAATACAGGTATTCATGCATGTGGAGTTATTATTACGCCAGATGATATTACAAATTTTGTTCCTGTAACAACAGCTAAAGATTCTGATTTATATGTAACACAATTTGATAACTCGGTAGCTGAAAGTGCAGGATTATTAAAAATGGACTTTTTAGGGCTAAAAACATTAACCTTAATAAAAGATACCGTAAAACTTGTAAAAGCTAGAACAGGAATTGAAATTAATCCTGATGAAATTCCTATTGATGATGTAAAAACATACGAGCTTTTCCAACGAGGAGAAACAGTAGGGGTTTTCCAGTACGAATCGCCTGGAATGCAGAAATACATGAAAGATCTTCGTCCTACTGTATTTGCAGATTTAATTGCGATGAATGCTTTATATCGTCCAGGGCCAATAGAATATATTCCTTCTTTCGTGCGTCGTAAAAATGGAGAAGAACCAATTTCGTACGATTTGGATGCAATGGAAGAATATTTAGCAGAAACGTATGGTATTACCGTATATCAGGAGCAAGTAATGCTACTTTCTCAGAAATTAGCAGGTTTTTCTAAAGGTGATGCCGATGTATTGCGTAAAGCAATGGGGAAAAAGCAGAAAGCAGTTTTGGATAAAATGAAACCTAAGTTTGTAGAACAAGCAGCAGAAAAAGGTCATGATCCCAAAGTTTTAGAAAAAATATGGACAGATTGGGAAGCTTTCGCATCGTATGCCTTCAATAAATCTCACTCAACTTGTTATGCATGGATTGCTTATCAAACAGCTTATTTTAAAGAAACATTATCAGCTAATAATGCTGCAGTACTTTCAAATAATGATGAATGATATCAAGGCCAAGTTACTTTTTTTTGGAAGAATGTAAACGTATGGGAATTAGCTTTCTTGGGCCAGATATTAACGAATCGATTACAAAGTTTAACGTAAACGAGAATTATGAAATTCGTTTCGGAATGGGAGCTGTAAAAGGAGTAGGGCAAGCGGCTGTAAACTCTATTATCAAAGAAAGAACCGAAAATGGTCCATTCAAGGATATCTATGATTTTGTTAAGCGAGTAGAATTAAGAACAGTTAATAAAAAAACAATTGAAAATCTTGTTTTAGCTGGTGGCTTCGATTCATTCGAATTTCATCGAGGAAGATATTTTTACATTGACAATACAACAACTAATCTTGAAAAATTAATTAAATATGGAGCGAGTTTTCAAGAACAAAAAAACTCTGCTCAAACTTCTTTATTTGGAGATTTTGGAGGAGGAGATGATTCTATAGAAGATGTGGCTTCCTGTATTACCAGTTTGAAAATGGAATATGTTACAAAAACTTTCTAAAGAGAAAGAGGTTGTAGGAATTTATATTTCATCTCATCCTTTAGACGATTTTAAACATGAAATGAAAATGTCATCTAATTGTAGTATTTCTGATATTAACGTTAATGAAGATAATTTTATTAATAAAGAAGTATCTATTTGTGGAATGATGTCTAATATTCAACATAGGATAGCTAAGAATGGGAATGAATTTGGTATTTTTACTTTTAGTGATTATACAGATTCTATGGATATTATGGTTTTCGGATCAGATTATTTGAAATACAGACATTATATGCAAGAGAACATGTTTTTGAATATAAAACTGAATATTTCGAAAAAAGAATTCAAAGATAAGGAAGGAAATGTTACACAAGGAAGAGTATATAAGAACATTACAAATATTCAATTGTTGAATGAAATTGTAGAAAAACATTCAGAAAAAATTACTGTAAAAATTGAAGTAAGTGATTTTTCCGAAGAAATTTTCAATAAATTATCAGATATTATGTTCAAACATCAAGGTGATAAATCATTACGAATTCAACTTATAGATTCTAAAGATTATTTGAATAATCTTGATTTATCAGCCATAAATTAAAATAATATTTCTCGAGATTTATTGCACGAGCTTGATGAATTGCAGGAAATATCATTCAATTGGAATTAAATTATACATTTATTCTTTCATAATTGAGAGTTATATAGACGTGTTCGATTTGATGAATAAAAGATTTGTGTAGATTGTACAATTAGATTATAGATATAAAAAATTAAGAATTATGGCATTAGGAAAGTACAGACGCATTCATTTGCATCAGATAATTATAGAGTCAGGAAAAGCCAGCAATGGTGGATTTTTGGCTGTATGGTGTGGTCCTTGTAGAATGGTAGGTCCAGTTGTTGAAGAGCTAGCTACCGAATATCAAGGAAAAGCAGTTGTAGGTAAAGTAGATGTAGATACAAACCAAGAAATAGCTGCTAAATATGGGATCCGCAATATCCCTACAATTTTATTCTTTAAAGATGGAGAAGTTGTAGATAAAGTTGTTGGAGTTGTACCAAAAGAGCAATTAGTAGAAAAATTAAATGCAATTTTATAATTTATTAAATTGCTGATAATGAAATAAAAAAATCTCGTAGAAATAAAGTTTACGAGAATTTTTTCTGCTGGCAAAAAGTTTAGGAAAGTTCAAATTCTCCTATATTTGCATCCGAAATCGATACAGATTTTTGATCCGGTAGTTCAGTTGGTTAGAATATTTGCCTGCACGCAAGTTGGTCGCGGGTTCGGGAGTCCCGTCCGGATCGCCAAAAGTTTCGTTCTTTTACTAAATTATTTTATTATAATTTCTGATCCGGTTATTCAGTTGGTTAGAATACTTGGCCTGTCACGCCAAGTTGGTCGGCGGGTTCGAGTCCCGTCCGGATCGCAATTTTTTAAAAAATTTTAAAAATATTATTATTTTATAATTTTCTGATCCGGTAGTTCAGTTGTGTTAGATACTGCTGTCACGCAAGATGGTCGCGGGTTCGAGTCCCGTCCGATCGTGCAATTCATTCTATTGAATTTCCAAATGATTATGATGCCAAAGATTTAACATTAAAAGAAAATGGAACGAAAGCTAAAAATACAAGAACGATATCCTGTATATGGAACGAAATTGGCACGAAAAAAAGTTCGTCCAATGAATTATCGATTCAAATTGCACAATCATGTGCGTAAAACAGATGGAAAAGTAAAACTAAATCTATTTGTAACTCACTCTGGAAAATCAGAAACAATCCCTATTTCAAATGTTTTAATTAATCCTAATAAATGGAATAAGAAAAAACAACGTTTAAATGCTCGTGTATCTGAAGATATTGATGTAAATGCAGTATTAGATCAAATTGAAGAAAAAATTCTTCAAATAAAGAATAAATATGCTATAGACAAAATTCCAGATATTAACTGCTGAAAAATTTGTTGAAGATATTTTATATTTTAATGCTAATATTGATTTTTTAGTATTTATGGATGTACAAGTATGGAAAGGGAAAAAGATTTTTGAAAAAGGCTACTTATCTCTTATTTCAATGTTTAAAAAAATTAAAGAATTGGAAAAAAGAAATATTTTTAAAGAAAATAAATGATGTTTTTTTTTGAATTGACTATACTGGTATGTGTAAATTATTAGGTAATCAAACTAATACTATATTCAAGAAATATTAGAGCTATAAAAAAGTTCTTTAAAAAAGCTCTAAAAAAAGGAATTAAAATTAATATTGATTTAGAAGATGTAAAGACGTAAACAAATCCTTCAACTAGAAATGATTTAAGTATATCTGAAGTTAAGATTATTATTACAAGGCTTTTATAAAATCAATTACCATTTAGAGCTCAACAATGTTTAGGGTGTTTTTATTTAGTTGTTTTACAGGTCTTTAGATGGAATGAATTAATATTTTTCTCTTGGTAATATTTATAAAAATATATTGTTATTTGGCAAGAAAAAACAGAGAATCCATTAAGAATACCTTTAACATTAGAAGCTTCTGATATTGCTGAAGCAATAGATTGGAATAGAAAAATTTCGTACCAATGTTGGTTAAAATATTTAAAAGAAGCTGCGTCATTACTTGGATTTAATAAAAAAATTTCGTTCCATGTAGGACGCCATACATTCGCAACAAATTACATGCGAACAAATGGGAATGTTGTGAAATTAATGGTTTTATTAGGACATAAGAAAATATCTACTACCCAAATTTATGTTCACATGACTGGAATGGAACAAGATGATCATATTCATAAGTTATCTAATCTATATGCAATAGGAAGTGGGCTTTAATGCCCACTTTTATCTTAAAACTAATGTTTCTACACTAACTTCTTCAATATTATTTTCTATATCTCTTTGAATTTTTTTTACGAAATGGATATTACCATAACAATATTTTTCTTTTTTAATATTAAAAGGATCTAAGAATCTTGTTTTTGTTTCAAATTCCCAAGAATATTGCACAGTTTTAATACGAAATCTTATCCATGTTTTATAAAATTCTTCAGTTATAGATGGTGTTTGAAAATCAATCATGTCAACTGTTTGATTATCATTTGTACTGTCATTTCTTAAAACAGCATATATATTGCTTATATCATCTTTATATATATATGCAGACATTTGATTATTTCTCATTAATAATGGTAATGGAGTTGAATCTATGTCAATAGTAGTAGTGTTATCGTTGATAATAAAATTTTCAGTATAATATCCATTTTGATTTATAAAAGTTTGAATTAATGGATAGTTTTCATCATCTGAATTTTTAAATTTTAAAAATAAGAATCGCCATAAATTTGTTGATCTTTCTTTTTCATATACCTCTGTGAAAGTCCAGTCTTCTGGATTTTTTTTAGAACGTAAATATTTTTCCTTTAAATTCATTGATACAACACCATTATTTTTTACAGTAAAATCTACATTAAACCAATTTATTGTCGCCTGAATAAATGTCCCTTGAGTTGTATCAGGTAATGCTAATTTTAAATCAATAATGTTAGAATCTACAGTATAACTTATCAAATTACCGTTATCATCAAATACTTCAATAGGAGTAATTAAAATTTCAGTTTTTTCAGAATCTCTTTGATAATCATAAGCTATTAATTTTAATTTAGAACCTCCTTTTTTTGTTTTGAAAGTAAAATCTACATTATAACTAGCTCGACCAGATTTTGACCAAATTAATTGATCATCTAAGTAGATGTAAGCTCTAACATCATGATGTTTTCTGTTCCAATTATGAATGATGCCTTTTAAGCGGAATTGGCCAAAAAAATTAATTTCCTGAGTTGATTCCCATCGTCCATATTGCCATCCTTGACCAAGTCTATTTCTAAAACCTTCACGAATATAGCTTTCTAAACCAATTGTCCAATCTATTGTTTGAGGGCGATCTTTTAATTCAAATTTTTTACCTGATGTTAAAATTAATTTCTTTAATTTGTCAACGTTATAAATATCTCCTTCAAGTTTGTAACCTGCCTGTGTTATTACTTGTTCTAATACATATAACCAATACATATATGGACGAATAATAGTTCTATTATAAATAATGTTATTGGTCGTATCTATCTCATTAACTAACCAATTATTATTTTCTTTTAAATTGATTGAACCTTTAAAATTTGCAAAATTTAAATCATCAGTTGAATATTGATCTGTGTGTATACAAGGAAAATAATAGTTTACTTCTGGATAAAATTTAGAATTAATTTCAGTAGCATGATTTCTAATATTGCTTACATTAATATCTGGTAAATTAAGATCAGATAATTTTTTATCCCAATTAGGGAAATTTTCTTGACCATAAAAAATTGAAAATGAAAAGAAATTATTATCTAAACTCACAATTTCAAATCTAGCAGAAAAAATTTCATTATTTAAATTTACTACTACATCATATCTAACTTCATATTCTTCAGCATTATTAGACTTATATTTTAAAAAAAAGGGATGAATATCATAAGGTAATTTTTCAGGTAATGTGTATGCAGAAACTAAGCTATCTGTAAACCAATTATTTTCTTCAGTAAATTGAATTCGCCTATTTGTTAAATCTATATGAAATTGATTATCAATTTCTGTAACTCTTATCATAAGTATCTGGGTTAATGTGAAATTCTAAATCATAACTGTAAAGTTCATCTGTACTATCAAATAATTCTAATTTTTCAGTTGTTGGTATTATCTCAATAATTTCATTTGATTTTATAAACCAACATTTAGGAGATGATAATATTTCATTAATTATCTCTATGTCATCATTTGTTATTACACCTGTATTTATATTTAAGGTGTTAGTTCTTGTTGAATCAACATTT